ATAATACATAACCCACTAAAAAAGTTTCAAAAAATAATAGAATTATTTAGACCCCGAACTAAAGTGAAAACAAAAAGTGAAAAGTGAAAAAATACGTGGGCGAGCACGTTTAGACACCGCCATTTTTGGCGATTTTTAATTCTTATGTGGCTTAGCCAAATGATTTGAAACTTTACATGCATGTACCTCACGTCATAGAGAACTTACAAAAAGAGAATCAGAAAAACATCATGATTTGTAGGCCCCGAAATAATATTTGGCAGGGCCGAACACCGTCGGGTTCGGACCCCGTACGGGACCCCGAACGCCCGTACGTACGGAGGTCTGCCCAGGGACCTCCGTACGTACGGGCTGGTGACCCTGTATATATATATATATATATATATATATATATATATGTTGAGGGGCCCGGGGGGCATTGCGCATCACTCCTGAACATATACACATGCAGATACACACATCACATACACACGTACACACATACACACACACACACACACACACACACACCTTTCACCGGCGACTATGCCCCCCCAAGGACGGGAATGGCCAAAATGGCCTCGGTACCTGCCACAGATAAATGTGTTCGGCAGCCCCTTTTTTTTTTCACACTCAGCCTAACGTGTTTTGTTCCCACTCGGGCGAGCATTCGAATATGTTCGGATGCTCGGTGGGGGGTCGAACATGTTCGACGTGCTACACAAACCTTTACAAAATTGTGTATCCCACAATAGGATCAGTGAGAAACCTAAAAGCGGCTCCAAATTATTTGAGAAGTGTCCTTTTCGTAAGAGTGGTTATCTTTCTGAACAATATAATAAATCAAACTATTTATTGTAAAGACTGTCTTCCTCTAAACAGAGCAGACATGCGTCGTATTCAACTTTTCAAAAAAGATGGGATTTTCGAAACTAGTTTTATTTTTTTTAAATAGAAGAGCACTCAAAATGTAATGCATGTGCATTATATTTAATATATTCAAATATGACGCATACAATTTCAATTGCAAATGTTAAGAAAAAACTTTTGTATTCGAAAAGAACATTACTTCGTTGTTTTTTTTTCTTTTCAAGGTGGTGTCAATTGTAATACTGCCCTTGCGACAAGGTTAAGCCCCTACAATTTTAAACGAGTTGAGGGTACTTTTTGTGTAAATTATTAGTGTGACTGTGTGACATTCCCCCTTATAGAAACCACACTCATAAGGGATGTCGTGAATTTGTATTTCATATCAGATACAACCGTGATGTCGGTGCATTAGGTTAGCTTTATTGAACGTAGCAAAAAAAAAAAAAAATAATAATAATACTTGGGAAAATTTGTTGAAATTGGAATGATATAGAAACTGTAACCATGACCTCTACATAAGGATAACACACAAGACAAATCGAAAATAAGTAATTGAAAAAAAAAACAAGAAAACAATAGATGAGTTGTATATATATATATATATATATATATATATATATATATATATATATATATATATATGTTGAGGGGTCCCGGGTGGCATTGCCCATCACGGCTGAACATATACACATGCACATACACACACCACATACACACACCACATACACACATACACACACACACACACACACACACACACACACATCGGTTGACACAGTTGGTGCAGAACCTCCAACAACTTATGCAACAATAACTGATGCATCGGATGTAGTTGTTGCCCTTGCTACATGCGCGCACACACACACACACTTATATGCATACACACACACGCACATACACACACATACACACACACACACACACTCCTTTGGCCGGCCACTATCCCCCCCCTAGGACGGGAAAGGCCGAAATGGCCTTGGTACCGACCACATATAAATTTGTTCGGCAGCCCCTTTTTTTTTACGCTCGGCCTAACGTGTTTTGTTCCTGCTCGGGCGAGCATTCGAATATGTTTGGATGCTTGGTGGGGCGTCGAACATGTTCGACGTGCTACACAAACCTTTACAAAATTGTGTATCTCACAAAAGGATCAGTGAGAAACCCAAGAGCCGCTCAAAATTAT